AACATTATTTTTAATCATAATAGTGTAGAGTAATGCTACGGCTAACCAGCTCTCCCCTGCGATGCAAGAGCAATTCTGTAACTTTATTTCTTCTAGTTACATATTAATACATTACATATTAAAGACCTTTTAACAAGCTTCTTGTTTTAAAACAAATCAACTGGGAACATTAATATGTCAGCTGGCACAGTATTAGCATTAGCATTAACCGACACTTGGCCACAACAGTCATATTTATCCTACTTGCTACTGGTGTCATTTTCATCATATCATCAGTAAATCTACTGTGATCGTCATCATCCTCTTCATCCATAGCTCTATGCTTACTTTCACTATCATCAACTTCACTGATTTATTATTTTCAACATTTTTGCCATTATTAATCTCTATATTATTTACATTATTTGTGTCATTTTCATTGACATCACCATCATTTCCCAGTTTTCACTCACCACTGTGATGTGCTGTCATCACATTTTTTACCTTTGATGCTGTTGTTATATATATGTAGCTGAGGTAAAAGACCAAAGGGAGCCGACAGCAAATGTTTAGAGATGTGTGATCCCTGACGACAGGCAGGGGAAATCACTGGAGCTCTCTCTGTGTAATCAGCCTCATCACCTTAATGCCACCTTTGTCTGTGAGAAAGGGTGAGAATGACGGACAGACTCTGCAGCATTGGTCAGACCGAGATAGGAAAGAGACGTGAAGTTCGCCTGGGACTGGCAGAGTGTGAGGCCATATTTAGAGCTTTCACTCAAAGCTTTGTGGTGTAAACTATTCCCATAAGGGGTTTCCAGAGGATGGGATCACGGGCTGTATGTAGGCCAGAGCCTCTACCTTCTGCTGCTCCTTATTGTAGGAGAATAATTGTAGAAATGCTTCAAGGTGGGATCAGAGTCGAGATGTAAGAGAAAGTGAGGCAGTTGGAGAAGTCAGCTAGGGTTCATTGCTTAAGTCGTTTAAGTCGTTTTATATTTATGTTGTGAAATCCCACATAAAAGGCACTTTTAAGTAAAAATCTCACACCTTCCATCTCTGGTTTGTGCAGCATCAGACAGGAGAGAAGAGGAAAAAGCAGAGAGCTCTCAGTCATCCACTGCAACATGAAAGAAATGATTTTTTAAGAGGGTGTTTATTATAACCTGTACTACACAGCAATGTCGTAATGGTTTGCAATTTTCTTATAATTATTGGGGTTATTTTCAAAGCCGTACCCCATAGTCTTGATTCAGACCTCCGGGTTTTACATAACAGGCTTTAAGAAGAAGTACTGTCTATAAACATTCTGGGAAGAGATTGAGAATTCATTGTAAGTGACTGAACTGAACAATTTGACCTGTCTTGTTCAGAAAGTTAGCCATGCTAGTGGTGTGGCTTTAAGCATGGTTATGACGTTCGATCATTTGGTCAGTCTGTCCCACACTAAATCTATTTCAACAACTACTGACTGGTTTGTTGTGAAATTTTGCAATTATTTATGGTCCATAAAGGATGATTGGACCTGGCTTTGGTGATCCCCTGACCTTTCCTCTAACACCATGAGGTTGATCTTTGTGGTTTTCTCATCTGAACTTTGTTTTAGGGTGTAATTAGCAAATGTTAGCATGCTAACATGCTGAACTAAAACATCAGCATAGTAGTGTTCGTTTTTGTCAGCGTGTTAGCACACTGACAGTAGCACCATAGCACATTAACAAGGATTTAACTTCTAAAAAAAGAAAATAATTTCACAGTAATCCTGGTAGGATAAAATACGATCATAAAATCCTTACACACATGCTATAAAGCATTAGAAGCATTCACAAAGGAAGAGGGTTGTTGAAATAGGCCAATACGACTTCCGAAATGAGGCTGTTGGCTATAGAAATGCTGGTGTAAATAGACTTATCTCACACACACACACACACACACCCATCAATGCTACATGCACAGCAACAAACATTTCCCTCAACAGCTCATGCTGCTGATATCTGAACAGTGTTAACAAATGAGCCCACATCCAGAGCAATCCATTCAGCTGCATCCACAAACAGTTTACCCCTCACAGGCATCAAAGGACGCAATGATGGGTTTACCAGCTGAATGAAGAGCAGAGGCCCAAATGCAAAGTTAGCCATTACCCGCTAACACCACTGGAAAGCAAGATATTATGTACAGTTCATTTCAGTTGTTCATTCCGACCTATTGCACTGTCCTGCATTTAGTCTGCAGCCAGTCACTGTGGTGCAGAGAGAGGAGAGGAGAGGAGAGGAGAGGAGAGGAGAGGAGAGGAGAGGAGACAAAACAAGGAGAGGAGAGGAAACAAAACAAAACGAGGAGAGGAGAGGAAACAAGTAGAGGAAATGAGGAGAGGAGAGGGAGATACTAGGTTTGATGTGATAAGAGCTCTCTGACTCATTCTATTAGCATAGACAACAGTATAGCTGGAATGACTCACACACACACAAAAACAGTAAAAATTTTAGTATCCTCTGGGGTCTCTCTCCTACATTGCAATTAGTCTTTAATGACACCCTTATGTGGGGAGTGAATGAGGAGACCAGAGGGGTGTGTTGAAGGGAGCGAGGAAGGAAGGAAGGGAACGAGGGAAGTACTGTGAGGGAGAAACAAAGGGAAATGGTGAACAACAGTGAGATGGAGAGGAAGATAATGAATTGTGGGATGAGGAAGAGACAAGATGAGTGTGGAGAGTGCTGGAGGGTTTAAAGAGCGACTGCAGGAGAGAGTAGCTGTGAAAGAAGCAAGATAAACAGAGAGAGGGGAATGGATGACAGTGTAGCCCAGCAGACACACAGACAGAGAGGCGGCAGGACTGGGGTGTGGTCAGACTGCTTCAGGACCAGACTGCTAAACTGCAGCCCCAAATGCATGGTAATAATGAAATCAATCCCAGAGCAGCCTCAGCATCATTTATCTACAGAGGAGCTTCCAAAATTTACACTTACTGCAGATGAACTCTTTGGAAAAATCCTGCAGTATTAATACAGGGAAGATGCAGGGTGGAGAAGCTGCAGCAATATCCAGTGTGAAAGGACGACTTCTGTGTAATGGACATAAATACTTTTTTATGAGAAATATGACAGTAACTAAAGTGGGAATGTGTTCATATGACTATGCAAAGAGGCTCAGGAGAAAAGTTCTTCCCACTCGCCCAGGAGCACATTCAGCTGTCTGCACGTGTGTGTAAATAATACATAGCTACAGCAAAGGGAGGCATGGAGGGTCACTCCTTTCCGCAGTCAGACAGTGTTCAGTAATTTTTTATGATATTACTCTCACTCAAAAAGGTGAAAATAAACAATTTCTGCCGCAGGGTTCATGCTCCCACAAATATAAGTATGGTATATATCAATGAAACAGTCAGTAAGCAGGTTTAAAGCTCATTCCTTTCCACAGCTGAACAGTGGCAGCAGATTATTTACCTGGGTGGGGCAGCAGGACTGATGGCCTCTGCTTACACATGCACAGATGCACGTTTGTCCCTTGTGGCTTACTGTGCTGAAAATGCTAAAAGTGATCAGGCACCCCATCTTTCTGAAGTGTGCAATGTGCAGTTTGTTTGTTTTTTTTGATGCTGTGTCAGGGAGGAGGCTTCAGTTAAACTTTTCAGCCACAGCCGCAGACTGGCTCTAGAAATGATAACATTGCATGGTGCAAGTTTTATATGTATGTTATTTTAAATTTGCATATATGCATTAAATAGCAATATATGATTAACATATATGGTAGCAACATGTTATAACATATAAACACTCATCATATAAGTATTTTTAATATATACTGTATGTACATACCCAAATTTTACTATGGGTATTTCATATGTTATAAACTTATATCTTCATATATCCAAGGAATTTATAAATGTGATAATATATCCTTTTATAGGATACACTGTCTATATGAGAATAGTTTGTTTATTCACGCAATATGCAACCAATGAAAATTTAAGTCAGAAAAACAAAAGTGTTATGTCAAAAAATCACTGAACACTCATAGAAATGTTACAAATATTAAATATTGCAGAGAAATGTTAGAAATGTTAAAGGTTGCAGAGAAATGTTAAGCATTGTGCTTGTTGATTCTGAATGGAGCGCGTTGGCCTTTGCAGCTGAACTCGGCAGCCGTGGTCTTTCTCATTGTAATTGTGCTTTTATTGTTATTCTCCGTCACACGTGGGGAGAAAGACACGGTGCAGCTGCTGCTGAAAGCCAGCAGAGAAAAGGTCAGTGCTTCTGGCCTCGCTGAGATATATCTGGGTCAACATGCCGCTGTGCAGTCTGCGCCTAGCTTCAGCATTACAGTGTGGTTTTTGTTTAGTGTGGATGTGAGTGAGAGGTGAGACACTGATTTTTATTACATTATTATTATGCAAATGAAAAGTAGCATATCATGACAGTTAAAGACACAGTTCTTTGTCCTTCATGATGACTTTTCTGCCTCTAACGTCTTCTCCTGTCATAACACCTACAGTAAAAGACTTAAGAGCGTAAAACCATTTGTTTTACCGTAACTCCAGCCCACTGGAGATCATCATTACCATCATTACATAACACTGGCTGAACACAGGCAGTCTACTCAGAACTCTAATATTCATAAACAGAGTACATTTTTTATCCTGTAAATACTGTTACACAAGTCTCCAAAAACCTGGAGATAACAGAATGATGTTTCCAGCAAGTATCATCAACATCATCCATGTTGGACCAGATACTTTTATCCCTCCTATTTAAAAATACAGGAATAGAAAAGGAAAATCAAGAAATGTCCTTATTGGGTTTTGCACATAAAATAAATACGGCACTGAAAGCAACTATACAACAGTGTGTATCTACCTCCACCATATGGATCATTTTAGTACTGCAGACTGCGTGTATTTCTGCCTGTGTGATTCCCATATCTGCCAACAGCTGTGACTCAATGGCTTTTGTAATCACACTTGTAAAGATTTGACTCACCGTGTGTGTGTGTGTGTGTGTGTGTGTGTGTGTGTTTGGCAGGTCTATCCATGGCGGTGCGTCATGGCTCTCTGTACTCAGGTCTGTCAGGGTTTAATGGAGCTCTGGGCTGCATGGCTGTTGGAGGACTCTTCTTCACCTTCAGCTGGAGGACCCACCTCTTTGCCATTGCCAGCGGTGACAAAAAACACACACACAAACACACTCAGACAGTGTTACTCAGCTAGCTATAAGTGTGACTAGGTGTTTTTAATTGGTTTTATTAAGAGAAACAAGAACCATATTTTATACGATAAAACATAGTAATAGTTTTCTTTTTCTTTTTTTATAATATCCGCTTTAGATGAAACCATATTTGTATTTTGCAGGAATACTAAAACAGACTGAATTGAGAATAAATCAAAATCTTTTGGCTTCTTTCATTGTTGCTGTCATTACTGTACTCAGCCTTCAATACTCTCTGTCAACAGGTGCCTTTGAACTTAATTGCATTACATTTTACTATTCTGTGTACTTTTTGGGAAAGGACATTTGAGGTTTTTGGCTTTCTTCGTGCCTCACTAGACTTTATAATGCATCATGTTGTGAGTTTATCTAATTTTCCTGAGCCCTTTGAGTCACCAAGATGTCACTTACTGCATCGTGGCTCCTCTCAGTAAATCATGCACTCCCTCTTCTGCTGAATCAGCCACATGCTGAATCATGCTCTCTGAAGGAGAGAAAAGGGCTCTTCTTTGTGTAAAGGAGGACGCATGTGAGCACATTTTATTACTGTCTGGTAAAATTCAGCTGTGCTTCTAAAAGCAGCTAGGAGGAACATATTCATTTATTCATCCCACCCTCTTCTCTTCGTCCGTATCTCTCTGCTTATCTAAACCCATTTTCTTCACCTTTTTACTATTTCTCTGTGCTGAATGAATGTAATTGCAGAGCTGAGGTTTTCTAATTCTCTCATTTCGTAAATTCAAAGCCGGATTTAATTGATCTATCCAGTCTTTCGTGTCTACCTCTGCTTTCACCCCTGACAAATTGACAAAATTATACGCTCGCACATTTGCACAACACATCTGAAATCAGCACTGACCAGTTTGGCAGGAAGCTAATCTGCTCACATTAGGTAAATTGGTCTTAATTGGAGCTTTCATTGAGTCTACTATGCAGAGCAACTGCAGCCAACCTCTGTGTGTACATCAGTCCTCTGGGGAAAGATACAGAGTGAGAGTGGAGGATATATTTAGCCTGAATTCTCTTCTCTTCTGCCCGCAGCCTTCCTTTCTGCATATGCTGACATCGCTCTATGCAATCTACTGGGAACTGTAAGTACACACACTTGAAGGCATGTGTGTGTGAAACTGCAACACAGGGACATATTTCCCAGTTTTTAAGCAGAGGGTGATTCAACTTTAGATTTTCTTTCATTTAGGTAAGAACAGCCTTGTTGAACAATATGCAGCTTGTTTGTGAATTATATATAATGGATGTAACTCTGAACTATATATGAGTGATGACCTTTTATGATATGAAAGCATCATTGCATTGACCTCTCAGAGCTGAAAGTCTACTGCACTTGTGACCACACTCAGCACTGATGTCTGGTTGAAATATATGGTGTATTGCATGAAACCACAAGACATTGTTTCAACACTCCCCGCAGTGAAGAAGTCTGGTCCATTTTATTCAGTTGATTCTTGATTAGATAAACTGGCGCAATCTTCTGCAAGACATGAAACGCTGCAGATAAAACCTCAAACAAATTGTCCACCAAAAGTAACTGCTTCATGCCGTGACACACTTTTATGTAATGGAGCACTGCTGCTGTTCAGGCAGGTACAGGAGTCATGGTAATAGTCACATATTGTCCAATCATTCATGTCCAGGACCTATCCTGTTCATTTAGATGGTCCATATAATCTGGCAGGCACTCATTCATTCTGATTACTCCAGTGCCCACAGTGCTCCACACTCCTGCAATAAAACACCATCCACATCCTCAGCCTCCTTTAGCATTGGCATCAGGTGTAGTTACAGGACAAGAATCCTGTTTGGTTGTGTTGATCAGATATTGTGTATCTCAGGCTTGGTAAGATTTGCTCCAGATTTGCATGTCATGTTGAAATAAATGGTTAAACTTGTGTCCTCTCTAAATTAGCATCAAAAACATAGGAATAGTGAAGCTTTTCAGTCACTTCACTCATTCTTATTCATTATCAAAAAAAAACCCCTCTCTCTCTCTCTCTCTCTCTCTCTCTCTCTCTCTCTCTCTCTCTCTCTCTCTCTCTCCCTCCCTCTCTGCCTAGGTGGGTCTCCCAGCATGCAGTTGGGCAGCCACTCTGACAGCCACACTGATGCTGCTGATGACTGGTAGTTTAGCAGCATACCGCATCCCTATTTGTCAAGTTATGGCCCCTGAACACAACCTGCGCTCTCGCAGCCAGTGGGCAGCTGGGAACACCGCAGAAAGAGAAAGCACTGATGTGTAGTGCTAGGACACACACACACACACACACACACACACACACACACACACACACACACACACACACACACACACATACACAGAGTACTGTATCAGTACTCGTTGGATGAGCTGGACCAAACATATATACATTTTGATTATAAGTATATTATAAATGGATTCATAGACATACAATGTTACCATGTCCTTACATTGTAAAAAAAAATAAAAATAAAAAAGTCAATTAAACACTTTGATGAAGCCCTGACTCTACATTTTGTCCACCAGGTGGCAGTGTATTTTCAGCAATAAAATGTTAAGTGTATATGAAGTATCTCAGTTGTTATGCAAGACTTTGTATTCAGACCCAACAAATGTTTTGTCCACGTTTTTGCCACTTGTGTAATTACAATACATGTCTTTTAATAGTGTATCATATTTGAGACACAAAAAAGCCAAAAAACAACCAAGTTAAAGGGAAAGAAAACATCTTTTAATTGCCATGAAATCAACAAGTCAGTTCCATAAAATCATTCATTGTTAAAATGACAGTTTTATTGTTATCAATAAAAACACATAATGAATTCTACAGTCATTATTTTTTAACCCCTTCGTTACCCTGCATAGACATACTACATAGCACTGTACTGTAAAAACAAACTGTACATGTTCCCCAATGCAGGCAGACAGTGAGACAATGAGCACACAGGCGACATGTAATGTGTTTTTGAAATGGACGGAGCGGGCGGCTACTGGAGTTTGAAGGCAACTTTTATCATCATCATCATCTTCATTATTATCATTATTAAAAATTCTCTTAAATGAAAACGTGAAAGGTATTTTGTTCATGGTTTGTTAATTTGATTTTGTCTTTTTTCACAGTGCTTCATGTTGCCTGTTTAGTTTAAATATACACTCCCCATCGCCATACCAATTTCCAAACACACACATGCCCACATTCACACAGATTTTTAAATTAGACCGTATACCGCGTGGTGTACTGTAAACAAAAAAAATCCATACATTTGAAATGACAACCTTCTGCGACAAACAATATCTTTTCTAAAATGTTTTTTTACATCATGCATTTCTATCTCAGTGCTCTAAGAATTTTTTTATTTTTTAATCTACATAATTTTCAGTTCTGGGACTAAACTCTTATCATGAAGTACCTCAAAGACAATGGTGATGAGGTCGGTAACACGGAGAAACATACAAAAGTGCCTTTCAGTCTGTGATTGATCAAGCGTAATAACAATAAAAAAAAGGATTAAAATCAAAAGTAGAAATATAAATACTTGCACAAAGTGTCTTTTTCTTAAGCTGCGTTACAAAAAAATGAACATTCGTAGTTCTACATACTTTCAGTTGAAGATCTGATTGTGAGTGCTGTTGTGCTTTTTTTTTTAACATGACTGTGTGTGTGTGTGTGTGTGTGTGTGTGTGTGTGTGTGTGTGTGTGTGTGTGTGTGTGTGTGTGTGTGTGTGTGTGTGTGTGTGTGTGTGTGTGTGTGTGTGTGTGCGCGCTTGTGTTCATCATGGCTGAGGATAAAGGCAGAATGACAGAGCTGTCTTAGTTGATATACTGTATCTGGCACACACTCACACACACATATGCTTCATACAAATCATACACATCATTCATACATACCGGTGATGTTCAAAGTATCTGACAACAGTGTCAATGATGTGAAATGAGGGAGAGGTATCTATTATATCCAGCTGAACCAAGTGTAAACAGATAAGTCAGATGTGTGTGTGTGTGTGTCTCTGTCTGTCTTTGTGTATCTTATATGTCCGAATGACTGTTCTCATGCACAGAAATCTGAAAACTTGATGATTTTTGTCGGGGTTTTTTTCTGATGAATTTCAGCGTGCATGCACTTTGTTATGTTTTCTCCTAAGACTTTACAGCTATGACGGCTGAGTAAAGCCCAATAACAAAATCTATTCCATTGAAATTAAATGTGTATGTCTGTGTCAGTGTAGCACATGTAATCCTACTTTGCGAACAGCCACACAATGTATTGTTCTTCATGCATGTAAACATTCATCTAAACTAAGCAAGTGTAAACAGTGACGCCGTGCCCGGGTCCGGTCTGGTGTGAGCACACTATTTAACCAGCAGGACAGGAGCTAGAAAGCAACATCCTAACTTTTAAGAAGAAAAAAAAAAAAAGATTGTTTATACAAAGCAGAGAGAGCAGAGCACAGGATTGATCATAGCAGTGGTCAGCTGTGGTCATTTTCTGGGGGGGATTATCTTATGCCAGCCAAAAGGAATAGTTTGATAATTTGAGAAATATCTTGTCGAGGTCTAAGCACCAAAGTCTGTTCCTTTTGTTCACGATAAATAGTCTCTCCTGATTGAAATGGTTTTTGTAGGTTTAAAATTTACCCCTCTGCAGGTAGGTCAAAGGTCAGGTCTGAGTGAACAGTAGCTTTGAGGCTTATAAGGATTTAGTATCTTGCTTAAGGACACCTCAGCAGGGCAGATCCTTGAAGCCTCGCCTGCTGCGACTGGGAACGACACTGATGACGGTGAGTGAAAGAGTAAAGTTGTGGACCAGAAAAAAACAAAACGAGA